TTGCAGTTTTAACCGCTGCTTTTTAACGATCCATTGGTCTCGGTTTCACTCAACCCTTCCTTTTCCTGTAAGTGCTGATGGATGAAGGTGTCCCTCGATGTATCTCTTAAGCAGTCTGGATTACTGCATTAGTTCTTAACCTGCACTAAACTCTTAACCTAATGAAGGCTGCAGTATTTGGTCCAAGAAATACATACATACATACATACATATATCTCTCTACACACACACATATATATAGCATCACAGTATATAAAGAATACTGTAAATTACAAAAAATATTATTAGAGGTGGTCATTAAAAAATAGCCTTATTAACTGTTTTAATGTAAGAAAAATAATCTGATACTAAATAAAAATACTCTTGCATTAGGAATACAATTCTACCTGAATGTAACCCGTTCAATACAAATCCATGCAGAAGTGTACAGTGCAGATTTTTTTTGGTCTACTGTTAGGATGCAATGCACGTGAAGGAGAATGAGGGCGCAGTTGTGCTTCAAGTGCTAAAGATGTGATACGGGAATTCTGCACGTTAACAGGTGGATTGCCGTTTCCCAGAAATATTTCAAATTAAACTACTGTGGTTTACCTTTTCTTTCCAAATGGATATTGAGTTTTGCCTTGTGACCAGGATTTAAGTATCAGTACATACTGATTATCAAATTATAGGATCAAAAATTTTATTTAAATATATTTTCTCTCTACAAAAATACAGTTACACTATAGTGTATAGTACCCTAATTATTTCCTTGAGTTATTTCAATGCAAAATTCACTGAAGTTTTATGATTCTCTGAACATTACCTGTATAAATTATTCAAATGACAACTTGCAGGTACTTCCCATTTTAGAAAATATTAAACATAACTTATGCTACATTAAGGCTGAAACACGCTACTTCTGTTAAGTTTGAGATCCATTTTCACATTGTCAATTATTCCTATCCCTGTGGACTGCTCTAAATACTTGTAAAGAATATTGACAACTTTTCCTGCAGTCCTACTTTCCCTCTAAAATTGACCAGTGTTCTTAGAAGAACTGAAAACAGTGTTCTTTATATTTTTAGTTCTGGTGAAACTTACCATACTTTTATGCTTCAGTCCCTGAGACAGCCTGTAATGCCTTATCAGTTGTTTATAATAATATATATTGAGTGTTGCCAAAGTAAGGTGAGATTTTTTACATATGACATCTTAATCAAGAACATTTTCTAGAGATTACTAACATAACTGGGCTCTTTATAGCTTTTTGTATTCTTTATACAAAGATTTAATAGTTATCTCAACTCTTTCCTAATACACAGTATTAAGAATTAAATGGATTTGGATTTGTTGTTTTCACGCAGCCAGTTTTTTGTTGCTCATAGCCTAGTTTTCAATCAATCTGTAACAAGTGACACATGAAAAATGTTGTGGTTTTTTTTTTTAGTTTTCCAATGTCTTGATAAGTACCTGGAAAAAACCAAAATAGATTATTTTCTAAAATCTGAAGAAGCATTGCCTAAGACATTAGCTTTTCCCTCCTTCCAATTGTAGCTATAGTTTAAAGTGGTAGTAATTCTCTTCAGTGACTTCTGCTGAATGTTTTCTCCTTATGGGTTCACACACATTCAGAGACTTGGGAGACACTTGAAGAATAAAAAAGTCATATGTTCATATGTTTGCATATTATAATTAATATCCAAGCTAGTGACTGAAAGAAGCTAGAAAAGCCTCCTTGTCTCCTTTGGTTGGTTTGTCTATCATGACCCAAATTCTAGTGGCTGTACTTACAGCACTGCAAAAACTGGAGAATCATCCCATTTGAGCATTTCCAGAACTTTTTCTATGAAGTAAATATAAGTCCTCCTCTGAATAATTAATATAATTCTCCACTTGTGTGAAGTTTTCCAAATGAAATCCCATTCCCAATCCCAAAATTAAGTAAAAATTAAGGATTAGCAATACTGTATGTTAAGAAGAACTGAAACTCATTTAATAAAGCTTTAATCAGAATACTTTCATTAACATGCTTACCTCACTAAGTATTGCCCATACAGGAGAATCAGAATTGACTGATAAACGAATAGCCTGTATTTTTCCTATTGCCTGATTGATACTGCCTTCTGCAATTCCATTTTCAAAAGCCCCTAAATTAAAAACAAGACCCATACAAACATATATTAGAATGAAATGCACTTCCAAGGGAACTTACGCAAAAGTTCTAAATTACAAATTATAAATTATCTTCAAGGATACAGCATTAGGGGAAAAAATCTTTTGGAAAAAGTCAAACAATAACAACTGAAAGGCAAAGCTATAAACAAGAAGAAGGATCCATTCCTTCAGTTAAAGCAACTAGGAGCTGGAAAAGAACACAAGAAAATAAGGAACCTATAGCTAAAATGTAAAAACAAAAATTGAAATGTTAGTAGTGGTAATATAAATATGACCCACATGGTTATGTTAAAGAAGCTAAGAGAACTTTTCTGAGAAATTTGATTATTTTAAAAAAATCAGATATATTTCATCACTAGTTCAATGCTTTTTAACTAACCTTGCTAAACTGGCATAAAATCACTGCAGACAAACAAAAACCACTCATCCCATGTATGATAGTCATTTCCTATCAACTTGTGTGTGCAACTGTGAGTTGATGGCATTTTTGGTTTGGATCTCTAATTAGAGCAAAACAGCCATAAGGAGGTGGGAGAGGTGCAAAGTAAAGTAAACGAGAAGTGCTGGCGAGGTGAAAGTGGTTCACTGGGAGAAAAAAGCAATTATGTGGTAGAGGAGACAGAAGAAAGTGGCAAGCAAAGCAGATCTCCCACTAGCCCCTTTTTGTTCACATAGTGGTGTTTTAGTTTAGGTAATAGTAGACACCAGGCCTTGGCAAGTGTGTGGAGAATCTGCAGTTCTTTCAAGAGAAGGCACACGCTACCCTGAGGAAGGGAGAAGGGAAGCAGGGGTAGGGACAAAAAAGAGGAAGGATGTGTTGCATTATGCTTCATCTTCATTTCAGGTTGGAGCACAAATGAATGCTGTCATAATCATTAAAAAATCCTTGTCTTCAGCTAAGGCTGCAAAATCCAAACCAGAATAAATTATCCTATTAAGACCTTGCAGAGACAGCAATTAGTTCTTCTAATTGAGTGCCCTGGCTTTTGCCACTGCTGGTAGGGTTCTTCATTTTTTAAAACAAAATAGCATAGTCATTGGTCAAACATTATATACTATAAAATGCAGTAGTGCAAAGGGGTTCTTTTCCTTACTAGTTCACCTTAGAATGTTGTATTTATTACAGAGTTAATGAAATTCTCAAATGCATAAATATTTTATATGTAACAATACTGTGACTTCAAAACCAGAAGTTAACAATTTACCTATTTTTAAATATCCATCTTTGGTTGCTGGGTAGTTAAATTTACTTCCATTGTCAACCAGTTCTTTTCTTAGAATTTCCTGTAAAAAATAAAATAATAAAATCTCCAGAAATATTTTCTAGAGCACAACATTTTACGCTGAACATCATTCTTAAAATGAAACAGCACTGTGTATTACAGTTGGAAATGAGAGACTTACATCATCTGGCAACACTTCAACAGTAGTGTTAAACAGTTTATCACCGGGGTGCTCTGTGTTTCCACTTCTGAAGAAGTACCTGATGATAAAGGTGTATTATTTCCAGGTATTTTATATTTTAGAAAAGTTCTATTGAAGGAATTCTTTCTAGTTTTGATGGAAAGTTTCAAATACCTTTTCTTTAATTAGTTGTGGGCTATAGAGAACACAAATAGGCATTGAAACTTTCTGGTGTGTGACCAAACCATACTAGAAACTTTTAAAGAGAACAAGCATTAAAACCACCTTTCTCTGGAACCGCAAATGCAAGTGTTCCCCCTTTGCAGTGCTCAAGGTCCAAATAAATTACTTTCCAGGTTCAAATGGCTAGGGAAGACATGCCCTCTGATCTGTTCCTATCATCCTAAGGCTGAGATCAGATGGGATTCCGGAATGCAACAGCAGCAGAAATCCCTGCTAGACCATATGCTATATGCCAAGAGAATTCCCCTTTTTTATCAGTACTGATTAATTCAGGTACTTCTATATAACCTCCTTTATAGCAAATGAGCAACAGCGCTGTCAAAGCAAGAATCCAATTATCAACATCAAGTAAAAACACCTATGAGATCTTAAAACAATAAATAAATCCTTGTTGGGTTTTACATTTCTGGCATTAGATTTCTTAGGTTTTTAGATCCAAAAAGAGCAAAGGAAATTCAGAGCATCAAGCTCCCTCCTCTGGTATCAACCAAACAATCAAGACCTAGGAAGACCACCAAATAGTATAGGATTAACTATACATTTCCACCTATAGCAGTGGGATGGGGCTGGGACCAGCCATTAGACAATACTATATATAAGTTAGCTTTATCCAGTACAGCTTCCCAGTAACAGGAATATGCAAAACTATAGGCTACCCAAGTTTCCCAAAGCATAAACCAGTTAGTTAAGAGCATTGCTCATGGAACACCGTGCTTATTACAACAACTGACATTTAGTGCAGCTCACTAGATGGAGATACAGGCTTGCTGCTTAGATTTATTTTTTTAATAAATAAGAAATCTACAATCCTTGCAGAAATGGAAGTCTCTTAGTTTTGTGACTGTTTTTGAGAGGAAGTGCATCAACAGTGAAGGTGTTTTCTCTTTGAATATTATTACAGAGCTATAGTAATTACAGTAATTAGTGTCAGAGACACTCTCCTGGAACCGTATTTCTTGCTGGGGTAGTTTTAACTCAGATCTGTTCTCTAATCTGACAGAGACTGAAGAAACTTCACTGACCCAGGCACATCTGCTTCTTTTGGTGCCAACCTCAATTTGTATTGTTCATAGAGGAAGTCCTTCTGAAAAACACTTATCTACGTGTGTATCTTCCTTTCAAAGAAGCCCAAGTTGAACAATGTGGGAACGGCAAAGGTAGTTTTATCTTTTAGAACGAGAAAAACATGTAAGATGGGACTTGGCTGTAGCTCCAAACACCTGAAGTTAGAAATCTGGCTGTGACCCAAGTGTTCAAACTTCCATTACAGGCAATGGAGATACACTCAGTGCAGTCAGTGAAACTTAGCAACTGACTCAAGTGAGCAAACAGAGAACGAGATGAACTGCTGTCTAGCTTCCTCTGACTGCACTGAGTAGATCTCTCACTGTCATGTATAGGAGGAATTTACACACCTACCTTATGTAAACATCTCTACTGTAAACACCTACATTCAAGTCTATTAATCTTCAGCTGAATCCCACCTTTATTCATTCACTCTTCATTATTTTCCCCCAATAGCGATACTTTCTCTTCACTTTCACCTGCACTGATTAAGTGTCTGGCCTGGGACATAGCGTTTGATCTGACATCATGCCTTTCTGTTGACCATGATAGAAACAAAGCTTTTAGTGACTCCATTGATGAAATTCATTAATTAGAATAAAATTTCTTTGAGAATTATCATAAGAGAATGTAAAATATTTACCTGAAGAAATAAAAGGAAAAAAATTAAGCAGTTCTCTAATTACCAAGGAGGAAATGTATTTCAGGAAAGAAGTTAAAGAAGGGGAGCAGATAAACAGCAAATCATGGATTTCTCATCAGTAACTAGGATATGTTTTATGCAAACAGTTAAGCTCTGGTGATTTTGAACAGATGGAATCACTTCCAGACTAGATATACACAGGCTTCCATATTTCATATCATGTAATACTTACTTTTCTACTTTTAATGGCTTTAAAAAGGTGAAGCTGATATAGTCCCCAGCCACTGGAGCTGAAGCCCAAAAAGAGTCTTTTCCTTTATAAACTTTTTCCAAAGTATACTGCTGATATATTCTTAGGCTTGTATCCACTTTTGCAGGTGGATTATTATGTGCTTTATAGAGCATATTTTTGCCAAAATCTCTATCCTGTTGGATATAAAGAAATGTCATTTCACTCATACAATGAAAAGAAAATGCTCCAGTGTCTTGAATTACTTCATGAAACTATTCCAGAAAATAATTACCTCAGTGTCAAAAAATATACAATCAATTTCTAACAGAAACAGAGTATTCACTTAGTGTAATCACTGAAAGTGTTACAGTACGTAGACAAAGCTGTACTGTTTCTCAGTTGCCTAGATTTAAAAATAAACTTCTCCACAGTAGGCTATTTCATAGTTTTTTACTATGCCTTCTGCTAGAACCTCTGATATTGGTCTCTGCTAAAGGCTACATGAACCTCTGGGCCAAGGCAGCAATTCGAATGATCTCATGACTAGTCTAAATGACGCCATCAGGGCATCCCCGAAGTCTGGTGCTTCGTTGCTCCTGTCCTCATCAGACACATGGTAGATCCACTGTTTGCACTCCAAACTCTCCCTAAAAATCTACTGCCATCAAGATAGTCATGCCCTTGTCCTACCAGTATACCACCTTCTCAATAGTCCCTCATACTGGGATTGTGGACTATTTGGCCAAAACTAACCATCATAGCTGTTCATCTTTGTACGGTGCAGAGCACATGAAACCTTGTGCTGTGAAGAGGGTTCCTACATGCCATGAAATGTTACTATGGCTGGTACAAGTGTTCAGCCTAGAGATGCAAAGATGTTTGTGCAGAAGCAGTGTGTGCCATCTGCAGTTTAGATGCTTGCTCAATATTCTCCGCCGCATCTGTAAGCCAACATTCTTGGATATGGAAATTCCATCTAATGCCAAAGATGCAATGGTTGAAGATGATTTGAGAAACAAGCCAGAACGTGAGCATATAATTTAGAAATATGGCATTAATTTCTTATCCTTACTTTCAAATTCTGTATCTTCCCAGCCAATGACGAGTAAATTCCCACATGCTGAAAAAGGGATGGTTTAGCACGGATACGTAACTTTGCCTTTTCCTTTCCACACTGTATCTGGAAAGAAAGTAAAAGGAAGTGAAGTTTTATTTCAACAAGGAGAGACAAACTAAGTTCCACAAGGCAAATTAAGTATGTAGTTGAGAGTATGGGTCCAGTTTTTTTATCCATATTTAAATAATTAATACTTAGCTTACTTAAGACTTACAGTCATCTTATTTCAAATGCACTGTTTCCAGTGTAATTCCACTCTTGGTGCTATGTAGATTTGAAGGTTCAACCACCAGTAATTCAGGGATTTCTGCACTGTACACCATCAATCACACCTCAGAGTAACAAAAATTCATCTCAAATTGGAAATGGATTGATTCTTTAACTGTTTCTGGCAAATTTCATTTCAACTCTAGGCCTTAATTCTAATTAAACTATTTAGAGCAAAACTGACCTTCTTGAGATAGATTCTGGTTACATTTCAGTCTTTATCATTTTGGCTTTTTCTGCTATGTTTGAAAGGCTTATACTAAACTATACTATACGTTATGTATCTTTTATCTTATAATTGTATAAAGCCCTTAGATACTGTATTTCAATCCTGATTTTCCAGTTTAGTACACCTCGTGAAATGACATATACCAGGGAGTTAAATAACTGTAATTGCTACTAATTTCCGAGTTTCTTGATTTTCTGAATTATAGCAAATTACTTCTTAAAATGTGAATTTATATCTATAGAGCATCATAGTTTATTACAATGAAGCAAACATGCTACAATAACTAATGAGATATAATGAAGCGTAATAGTACAGAACAAAGCAAAGTGCTAAAATGAGACTCCCTTGGTTCGACTCTCAGTTCTGCCACAGAATTACTGTGTGAGTTTGGAAAATCATCTGGAAAATCATTTAACTTCTCTGTGTCCATGGTCTCACATCTTTAGATTTGAGAGGATAATGTGTTTACCTCTTCTACTAAGTGTTTTCAGTTCTATAAATGAAAAATATTACATAAACCATATAAATGCCTTCTAAATCTAGAAGTGATTAAGTCTTCACTCAGCTGGCTTAAACACCAAAACTCATGAGAGATTTATGGTTTCCACAGAAGTACTAATTAAAAGTTCAAAACCACCTGGAAGGCGATAGTATTTTTATGTTTGTCCACAGCAGATGTTCAGCAGAACAATGTAAAAATACATGCAAATTGATTTATTGGCAGCTGTTTCTTTGAAAAGCACACTATACTTTTGTTAGGAAAAAAAAATCATTATAAGAAAATTAATTCGTGATCTTTCAACTGACAGGGTTTGCAGTTCATCCCCTATAAAAATGTAGTTTTCAGCATGTTTACTTGAATGCTCTGGCAGCACAACCAAAGAGCTCCTTATGGTAGCAGCTGAGAATAATCTGTAGCAGAGGACTGGTGTGGTCATTTGTGCAGAAACTGAGATAAAGCTCCTTGTTAAGTCAAGGCTCCCATCTTTGCAGCCTTCTAGTCCCTACTGCACTTGATGGATACATGCCGCTGCATATGATCACAGAATCACAGAATGGTTTGGGTTGGAAGGGACCTTATAGATCATCCAGTCCACCTCCCCTGCCATGGGCAGGGACACCTCCCACCAGACCAGGCTGCTCAAAGCCCTGTCCAACCTGGCCTTGAACACTTCCAGGGAGGGGGCATCCCCAACTTCCCTGGGCAACCTGTTCCAGTGCCTCACCACCCTCACCGTAAAAAATGTCTTCCTTATGTCCAATCTAAATCTATCCTCTTTCAGTTTAAGACTATTGCCCCTTGTCCTGTCACTACAGGCCCTGGTAAAATGTCTTTGTCTTTCTCACAAGCCCCCTTTACATACTGAAAGACTGCAATGAGGTCTCCCTGGAGCCTTCTCTTCTCCAGGCTGAACAGCCCCAACTCTCTCAGCCTGTCCTTGTAGGAGAGGTGTTCCAGCCCTCTGATCATTTTTGTGGCCCTCCTCTGCACCCACTCTAACAGGTCTATGTCTTTTTTGTACTGAGGACTCCAGAACCGGATGACAGGAAGTAAAGTTTCTGACCCATGCAGAGATCTGATGGCTCTGATCATCACAAACTGTCCTTTCCTTTTCAACTGAGCAGATGTAGCTGAATCATGGTACGTTAATACTCAGCCCAGGCTGAAAATACGTGCCAAACACCCATTGCCACAGGATGACACGTATAAGCCACAAACAAGTGCCCTGTTGACTCTCTTGTGGGGCATAGTGTGTGATCATTTAGTGACGCTCTCAGTTGCTTGGAAAGGGGAAAGCATGAGGATTTATGTCATCTTGCCTTCTCTGGTGCCTGCATGAACATCTACTGCTTTAATCTGTCAAGCAGAGGAGGAGCAGCAGCTGGGCTCCCTGTCCTTGTTCCAGCCTCCATTTTTGTGTTCTTACGAACAGTCCAGTCCCAGACAGACCAGGTCATGCCACTGGTCATTCCCACCCAAGGGCATAGGTTTTCGCTACCCACAGCAACTGAAATTGCAATTGCAGAAGTGAAACTTCCTAGAAACTTGCCAATACCACTCTGCTTTGGCTTGGCCAGAACAGACTCACGTGAGCTGCCTCTCTGCCTTTCAGGAACACAGTGTTGGCTCAGGTACTAATCAGGTCTCAGAAGCTACAAGAGTAATTTAAAAAATGAAAGTAAAATGTTTTATCTATCAGATTGAAGTTGGCATGTTAGACATCTGGAATGGGTGATGTTAACGTAACAGTATCTCTTTTTTATTCTGTTATCACAGGCAGGCAAGAACCTAAATTAGAGGTAGTTGAGGCTCACTCTCCTATGAGCCAGCTTAACCCACAGAGTAGGATTTCAAAGCTTACTCCTATCTGTATGAAGTGGGAATGGGGACCCCTCAGTGACATTAGTAAGTGTAAAACCAGGGACTCATCCCTATCCCCAGGAGTCACCTCTGCTGCACAGTAAAACTTGAAGCCTCTTTGTTCTGGTCGCCTCAATCTCCTGCTTTGCACAGCTCTTATCTGTCTCTTCTTCCTTCTTTACCAACACAAAAGTAACGTGTGAACACCTGGAGTGGGGCCTGGCTACACTAATCAAATAAAACTTTTGAACTTTAAAATCCAAGAAGGAGCAGAAACCCTGGTCAGCCCTCTGTGGCACAGTCTGTTATATATGGAGAGTGTAAGTAGTGACCAGCACCAAAGACTGGTGAGACAAGGAATGCAAAAGGACATAAAGAAATACTCAATATATTGGGCTCACCCGTAGTGCTAGAAATGGCACCTTTTGCAATTCAACACAACTGTTTCTTTCATTTTCAGTGAAAAATATTATTTAGTTCATTTTATCCACATTTCCCTCCATTTTTTTTTCAGGCAAACTATTTTTTTTCCCAAACAGTAAAAGATGTAAAGCAAAACACTCAAGTTCTGCCTCCTGAAAGAAAGGAACCGGTATGCAAAATTCTGAACAACTGTGATTGTGAAACTGTATGCTTTACTGACTTTAGTATCAGAAAGTAAGCGGAAGCTTCTGAGAAGTGACAGTCCACATAGGTTTACATATTCAAAATTTTGGTGCTACAGAGTTGCCTACATGATCAGCTGCAGGCAGATGTGAACTTCTGTTGTCCATATTCTGAGCTGATGGAGGCAGGACAGCTCTGGTGTGGAAATCTGAATTTCTGTGAGTCAGACCTCTCCATATGCCCTAATGGACTCAAACACCATGCCACACTGCATGCAACAAATCTTTCACCACAAATTGCAAAGTAAGTCAGGTTTGAGAGATTTTTATTCCACTTTTTGAAAAGAAATTGTCACTGAGATTGTTTGAATATTATCTATGAATTTATGAACACAGCTATACTTACTGCATCCTTTTCTGGATTGCACACTTTAACCCAGAGCAGGTGGTCTAGAAGCCAGTCTATGGGTTTATCTTTGTAGAACATGAGAAAAAAATCCACTATGAGTGGCAAGTCTTCTGATTTAAACAATTTTCCTGAAAGCAAGACAAGAAGATGCATATTCAGGTATTTTTATTGCTGTGGAAAAAGTCACCAGCTTTCTGTCTACTCCAGCCTTAAATGCATAGATGTAATTGTAATATGTAGTGGAAATTTCACACAGACTCCAGCCTTGGAGAGCTGCTTATCCTCCAGCTTGCTGTGATTTTAAAAAGATTTCCACCCCATGCCTGGAGATATTCTTACATAGTCAACCAGTTGAGTAATAAATTGTTCAATTATATCCTAGTTCCAAACACAAACATGCCAGTCACCTGTATCAGTGTCAGATAAAATGAAGTCTCAATAATTCCTCAATATGCTAGACATGCAATTTCACTAGGAATACTATACTGAATTTATTTAAATTAAAACCTAGATATGAGAAACATTGCTTTTAAAATACTATCCCTGTTCATTTAGTTCCATCTACTATTTTTTAGCAGATTTTGTTCAATTTCTTTGCCTGACCTAATACTTACAAGGTGTTATCACAAGTAAATTGTATCAGAACCAAAGAAAAAATATAAAAATAAACTTATTATTAAAAAAAAATTTAAAAACCTTCACTATGATATGGGATGCACGTTCTGCTCTTCAAGAGGAAATGAAGCACATTTTTTATAGATTGTTCATATTTTATTCTTGAAAAGAAGACTACACACTACAGGGGCACAGAGTGCCATGAGATGGAACAGTTTCCTTGTTATGGTAGTCCAACTATGAGATCCTATGCTAAGGAGGCTCTGCCTTTAAAAGACAGTTTCAAAGAGCACAAAAAGTAAAAGATTTTCAGTGGGAGCTTTCCTGAAGAACCAAGGAAGTTTTGATAAATGAGTCCTTCCATGCTTTGAAATGTAAATCCAAGTGAGAAATACTCAGCTCCAAATCCAATTGACTCTGCTGGAATCTTAGTACTTACCAATAAATCCAAGCTGGGAGAACTCAAGAATCATCCACTCTTGGGACTGTTTAGCAGCAAAGCTTTTTATACTTTGAATATAATCAGGTTTGGCTATAATATCATCTTCCAGCTGGGGAAAAAAAAAAGCAACAAAAAAAACAGAAGGCAAGGGGTGGTTTTACTGCTTGCAGGGGGGTGGGGGTAGTGACGTTGCCACATGTAAGTGATAACTGCATTGTGTTTGACTGCTGTACAGTGTGTACTGAAGCTGTGCCGAACTACAGTGGATTGCTATTCAGCTTCTACATGTATCTGTTTCAGTATCATTCATTAAATATTTATTTATAGGAGTGACAATAACACCATGAGTGCTTCTCACTTTTTCAAGAAAGGAGGACTCCCTACCTTAAAGAGATCTCACTTAAAATAAAACATTAAGCAGAAAGACAGAGGTTAAGGAAGAAGACAGGAGAGAGTTTGTACTGAAGTTGTATAAGCATCGATAAGCAGTAAATTATTTGAAAAGAGGCATCTAAAGCACATGGTTAGAAGCAGATTAGCCTAGATAAACTTTGTCATACCTAAAAGGTGACCGAAGACAATTGTGGATGATTACCAAGAGACTAGTAGAAGGCAAGTTGTTTCAGGGAATAGTAGTCATGAGAGAAAGAACACGCTGTGAAGCACACTGAAGGACAAGAATACACAGAGACTTCAAGGTGCTGTAAAGGCTGACTCTGAGTACAGCAGTAGAGCCAGCTAAAGGCTACTTGGAAAAGGAGACTGACATCCACCAAGGAAGAGGGAAAGGCCTTGGCTGCTGGCTTGGCTTTCAGAGAAGAATGGGGGATCTGAAAAGCCAGCAGCGGTTCCAGTTACTAAAGTTAAGGATAGTGAGTCCAAAGGTAAGGAGTTCAGAGGTAACATCGTAAGGAAAATAAATTAATTCCAGGAATAATTAAGGAGCAAGTAATTCAGGGTTTGAATTAGATATGGATGTAAAAATCACAGAAAGAAGAGGATAAGCCTTCAGGAAAATGTTGGCATGCAGTGTAATGATGATGCAGTTAATTTGATCTGGTGCTCGTCTGGTGGCACTGGAATCTGGTTCAGAAAACTAAATAGGTAGGAAATGAAGGCTATGAGAAAAAAAATGCAGGTTTCCTGCTGGTTTTGCATCCTCAACTGACTCAGTGCAGAGTCAGCAGCAAGAGATCAAGAGAGCAGGCCCACAGCTTTTAGCTGATATTGGCCATTAGTACAAGTGTATGGCTGGTGGGGGAGAAATGTCTTAACAGTGAAACAAGGAGGAAGTACAATGAAGTTTGAAAGACAAGATTAAGATATCTGTTTTGACACTGTCAGCTTTTACTGATGTTAAGACATCAGAAATAGAGAGAGATGAACAGATCAAGATGAGTGCTTAATAACAGATTCTGGGATCTGGGGATTGGCTTGAAGCGTCGGTTATGCAGAAGAGAACAGCAAAAAAACCTCAAAACATCAACTTACAAGAAATCTTGCATAAAATTAAATGAGCTAAGAGGAATATCCAGTGGCTAGATATAAAGGAAGAAGAGCAAAGAATCAAAGAGAGTTTCAGAGAATCCTTAAAGAGAAATTGAGGAGCACCCAAAAAAAGGAGGAAAAGCAGAGAGAGGACTATCTCAACAATCTAGTGAGACCACCATATTGAGAAACACTAAAAGAAAGCATACAGAAGTAGTAAACATGAGAAATGCAGAGGCTGTGATGCAAAGCAGATGTGAATGTGGTTATGAACTGAAAGTAGTTTCGCACAGGCAGAAGTCTGAAACAGTCTTTTCTGAAGCTGACAGTTAAAACTGAGTATTAGATAATGTAGTTTGATATCCTCTGTAGCACAGGCCATTAAAAGTTACTTAAATTAACCCTGTACTGAACCCTGTAATTTGTGTTCAATGAAAGCACTTGAAGAGCATCTGCCATTGCTTAGAGATTTCAGCATCAGTTCTTTTTCAGTAAGTTATACTGTTTGTAATTATCCTGAAGGTTTAGTACATGATACTCAAATGCTGATTTGAGTTTTTCTGGCTTCAGCTTACAGCCACTTGTTTTTCATATGCTCTTACCTACCAAAGGAGGTTATGCAGTGGCTATACACAGCTTGACCAGAAAGTTTAAGGTAAGAACTGTCTAGTCCATTTTGCCCATTGCCATTGGAAGGCCAGCAGAACACAATTTCAGCTAATTTGCCTTTACTTATCAGTACTTTGTGATGATGAAAAGATGCATGCACACAAGCAAGGCCATGTGAACTTCCTAAATGACAGCCAATAAACAAGTTTCCATTCATTTTTCTTATGTGGGTATCTGCATGAAATAAGGAAAAAGCAGCAGCAACAAAGAAGTGGTAGCATACAATGGAAGTGTAGGCATCAGACAGGAAAGTATCATCATTTCTAAATTATACTAGGGTACTTTTATATTTTGAATCACTGTTTAACAAGTATGTGAAGATTGTTAAGCTGAAAAACCTTACTTTCTCATTTTCCACAGAAAACAAACCTTCAATAGTTAATTCCATAAAGGTTCTTTTTTATTTAGTACAAGCATAAAGAAAATTTCAGGTAATAATGTACTTTCATTAAAGTAATTCCTTTTAGGAGCTCTACCAAATAAAAGACTTGTCCTAGAGTCTATAGGAGAGGAGAGAGAAAATAAATATAAAGACTCCTAATGACTTTGCTAAGCTTTTGCTCAGTCCTTAAAACCATTAGAGAATCACACTAGAAAACTTATAATAATGGTGTACAGATGAGTGCTGCTGGCTATATATACTGCCAGTATATACATATATGTTATGTACAAATACACAATGCAGCTCCCCCAGCCCCCTCAAGGAAAAAAAAAATCTCGTAAGGTGAAAAAAGTATAGCAGTAGTTCAGTAAGTTTGAAGTTTATAACAGATTTTAACTGAAGATACTAAAAGATTTATTTATTGTTTTCTTTTTGGTTCACCTGAGTGCTAATAGAAAACACTTCCCAAAACCTGCTGTATCTGAGATTCTCCAAGATGCTTTCAGACTTGAAATGTTTAATTATTTCAGCATGAACTAAGTCTACAAGGACACACAGAACAAATGCATCTCCTCACAACAAGGCTTGGGCTTGAACGCCCACTTTTATGACTACATTAAGATCCCATTACCTTGTCTCTGACATTATTACAAGTGTGTCGAAGGGCTCACGTGGACTCCAGGAAGTACAGTGAAACTGGAAACAAGTATTTCAAACTTCTCTTAGTTTTTTATTGATTAAGAAAATGTCACAAAAAAGCCTGAAAGGAGAAGTAGCTGGTTCAAGGGGGAAAAAAAGGATAGGTAAAGTGGAAGACATGCTTCAAGTAGAAGAGACAAGATGACTGAGAGGATCTATTGCCTTTTTTTCAAAGATTGTGGATGAACTGTAGCTACTGATCAAACATAGGGTAACTCCATTAGCTTCAATGGACTCCACAAAACTATTTGCTTAAATCCTGATTCAGCAGTATCCCAGAATGAGTATTTACATGTTTATTCAGCAAAGATATTGCCTGACTCAGACATCAACTGTTCTGTAGATATCAAGACTAGTGACATATGCTTATCTTCTTTCAAAAGTTAGTATCAGTCACCCAAATGATACTATTTCTGACCAAACAGTAAATAAAATCTAATCTATTTCAAGTTTTTCCTAAGATTTCTAAGGCAAATCTTTGTACCGGGTTGAAGAAAGGGATTTTTAGGTTATTTGCTTTCTATTAGTAGAAGGCTTCCAAACAGAGGTAGATGATAACTATCTTTATGCAGCAGCATGTCTTCCTGCTTTTTAGCTGTTCTCCATAGAGAGTTTTCTGGGCAGATCAACATCTGTGCTAGAGAGGCAGCTGCAGGCTGGACACGCAAATGAAGACATGAATATACGAGCTCTGAGGAAACCATAGTCTTTTTGTAAGAAAAGTCTGAATGCAGCCATAACTGTCAGCAGACTATCACAATCCAGGCTTTGCTCTGAACAACACAGTTCAGTGCTTATATGATGTCCCAGATAAGAAAACACATAGTCTCAAATTTCTTTACAAACACAAATGCATAAGTAATTCATTTCCATGCAAACATGAACGCTTGGAGAACTTTATAATAGAAAGGGACATTAAGCGTCTGGCAGCATGCTTAACATTTGCCGTCAACCATGTTTCCCATGCCTCAGTGCTCTAGTGTGCTTCATAAACTTGGCTAACGTTCCCAAAAATATACAAATGTCACGGGAAAATAACTGGTTTTCAAGTAAACCTGAAGTGTTCAGTAGACAACATTTCACTTTGTCCACCTGTCTTCTGAGTGCCTATGCCAAATCTGAGAACAGAGAATAGACTCTCAAGTAGCCCAGCTCAAATATGTTTGTGTTAAATGCTGACAAGAATGGCATGAGATGCCGGCTCTTGTGGTCTTCCCTCCTGCGTCTGGGAATGTGGTGATGTACTTAAGTGATACAGAGTCCAAGACCTGTTCAAGCAGGAGAAGACCCAGGAAAACTTTAAGAACTACGCGAAACACTGTTCTGAGCTTTTTTTAAAAACTGCTGACATTCATGAGCTGCATGAAATTTTATGGATCTGTTCCGTTATTGAACAGTCATGATAAATTTCGGAATCTCTGGTGGTAACTGTCATCTTCATGGAGTGCAAATTAGCACAGATCTAGAATGATGGCCAAACCTAAGCCTGAACGAATGATTATTTTCTTAAAATCTAACACACTAAGTCATCTGGAGAATTTAGGATCTGGACCATGTTGCAGCTTAACCCTGTCTCCAGTGTCACTATACTGGTATGTTTCCCTATCTGGAAAAGTCCTTTAAGGCTTTTTTGGTTCATTGTGATCTGGGCCATAACCTGGACCTACCACCACTTTTCTGTATTGCTGCACCAAGTGAAAACACATTAAACTCTGATGTTCTTAACCTAATTAAATAAGAGTTTCATGCTTCAGTTACCTTGTTATTCAACCTCACAAAAGACAGGAAGGTAAAGATGGATTTAATCAAATAGTGCCTGGCTGCAAGATGTACATAAACACAGAAATATGTGGATGCTTGTAAAGAGCACAGAAAATACACAGAGAATGACGACAGACTGCTGTTTTTATTGAGGCCTTTGAAACAAATCAAAACTGCCAAGACTAATAATCAGTACAGATGTATTGCAGCTACTTCATGATAATGTGAACATACCTGTAAATAAAATGTTCCCTTAGGTTGGGCATATAGCATTAAAAAGCTATAATCCAAATTCTGTTTAGTTCTCCACCTAAACATAAGCAGCAAATTCTGATAAGCTTTTTGGAAGGATTTGCAAGAGTTATTTGTATAATAAAAGCATTTCTAATGCTCTACAGTTTCTTCTCTACAGTAAAATTGTAAAGTTGAATATTCTAACCTGTTAGGTGACTAAGAGGGCAAGAAGTCTTTTTTGATCTAAAATTTCCTCTATAATCAGTGTAAACATCTCTAAATAACTTGATTTTACTATAAAAGTTAATGTTAACTAAGCAAAAAAAAAAAATCTTTATCAATGCAGCCTGGCATTGATCTCTAGCAAATGCCTAACAAGTATATTCACGTCAAATGACTTAAAGATTTTACTCATTATATTTTGAATAGTAAAGATTAGCACACAATTATTATTTAAAGATGTAAAATTAATTGGTTTTACTGATGAACAGCACAGAAACAGGTTGATAAACTTCATTTTCAGGTTTAAACATAATTTAAAATTTTTCTCTATAAAGTAGTGTCTCTCATTTTACCAGAGGATGAAGGTGATGTTTGATAATTAATGCTAAAAGACTGGAGAGTAATTTATCAGTATTTAATTAACATAAAAATATAACTAATTCAAATCTAATAATATCTGAAACTTAAGTATAAGTATGTAAACATATTTATGCTCTGAAAGATATACAGTTTCTTTATAAACCAAATATACATGCATACATACACTTGCTGATTTCCTTCAACCTAAACTCTCGGTATTGCAGCTCTCTTGCTGCATTGTTGGGGTAACTTCTGATAAAATAGTTATTGTTGATCAAAAGAAAATTACTTTCCTCCAATAAATCAGTTTTTTTAGGTTATAATCTCTGTTGCTGAATTTGGGGGACATAAGCAAATGAAATCACTGGCTAGGATCATTAACAGTAGTATAAAAAGCTCATGATCACCAGAAGTTAGGCCATTAACTAAACCCACAGTAGTTGTTACTAGTTAGCTAAGGAGCCACATGGAGTTTTCTTCGTGTGTTCTCAGAGCCTCTCCCTTATCTGTCACACAAAACGTTTTCCTGTTTTTTCCTTTAAGACCAGGTCATCTAGCCTATCACCTCTTGGCATTATCCGTCTAGATTTTAACCTGTGGGATGCCTAGAGTCAAGATCCAATGAGAAGCCTTGGCTGTCACCCTCAACATGATGTGCAGCATAGCTTTTCTCAAGACCGCCTTGTGTAGTAAGTTTTTTTAAAAGGACATTTTAGGTCCATTAGCTCTGAAATACAAAAACATTATCAGTTCAAACCATGTTGACTTTTTCATAATTTTCCATTTTATACTCTTAGAAAAAGTTGTTAGGTTTTCTACAGCTATCTTACCTTACTCTGTCCTCTGAATCCCCAAATGTTTTCTTCAGGTTGGAAAGATCTGGATAATAAAAAGCAGGAGGAGAAATAACCTCTAGAACTCCAGACTGGATTTCTATGGGGAAGCTGTGAAGAGAAGTTTAGTGAGATCTCATTCCTCAAAAAGACTTTTGAGGGCAACCACAGAGAGAAGCTCTCCAGAGTTAGATCTGCTCCTCCAGAAGGGGAATTCATAACTCTAGCAAAGAAACTAAGTCACATACAGTGTAAATTAGGAACCAAGAAGACACCATCAGAACAGGCAGGACAGTAACTCATCAAAATCTCAGAAATGTGTCTCAGAAATGCTGCCCCTCCTGCATCCATAGATGCTTACTCATAATCCTGAGATGGTTGCCAAAATGTTGCAGTAACTCACAACTGTCTAGAACTACACACAACTGTTACCACTTGTGTGAGGTCTACTAGCGCTCTTACACTTGTTCTAACTCTAAGCCTACAGTCTTAGTAGGATTGATAATGTCCTGGAGTGGGGGTTTGGTATGAGGAGCCTGGGTCTAGCCTCTGCTGCAAGGATTACATTTTCCATTATAAAAGTAATTGAAAAAAAGGTGTAATCAGCTTTGGGAGTCGGATCTGGAAGTCAAGTCTCCATCTTCCTCCAAAATATGTAAAAACCCCGATTCTTCAGTTTTTAATAGGTATTGGATCACTGAAGTAAGGAGTTCTCAGAACTGAGTTCCCCATTTTCTATGACTAATGCAAAACACTAACATTAAAAATTAAGTGCATCACAGGAACATTTTCAAAAGCCATAAAGCAAGCATAAATATGGTGCGAGTGCTTTAAGTTGCAGTACGTATTGTACCTTGTGGTGCTCAGCAGCACTGAGGAAGGCTGTCTTTTCACCTTGGCCTCGCTGCACTACTCCCAGCTGATCTAAACCCTCTGCAGGCATGAAGCTGTTCCTATTACTTAGCTTGCAGGCTTGGCTTGGGGACCCTTCTGGAGGAAATCTGCACCCTAAATACAGTCTGGGAAATCCTTGAGTGAAGCAAGATGTACAGCAAAGTCTCAGTAGTGAAGGAAAAGGGCAGCCTCTCCAGGGGGTCTTGTTCATTTTTGCTGTGGTTTTGATAGTATTCTAATAAAACATTGATACAAAGATTAAGAGCTCTCTTGTAGCCACTTTAAAGAAGGAGAGAGGGGAAAGGCTGTTTCACTTCAAATACTGGCCAAAGTGGAGTCTGTCAGAGTAACTAATTCATTAATAAGCTTGTACACCAGAGAAACCAGCAACACCAGTACTGCAGCACAATGCAGATTTCATCTCCTACTTCTTTCTGTCAACTGTGCTGCAGGGCCTTTAGCGTTCTTTTGTAACTGTTAGCTACACCATACCATTTCTTAGCAAGCAGCTTTCGTAAGACAAAAATACATCTACCAAAGAGTGTACTTTTTTGCCCAAACGTTTTATTAGTTGTTCCTCTCAAGCTGCTCTGAGTTTTTTTTTAACATGCACATGATGCTGTAAACTTCTATGGGAAAAAATGGGAAAAGAGCAAGTAAAACTGCAGTGGGAACCAAGCCTTCATTTGATCGCTCTTACATTAATTTGGCACAGCAAAGAATACGCATCTTATTTTAACCTTCATATAACAGTATTTAACTTCATAAATATAATCCAATTGCTGTTCAAAATCCTGCCTTCATGAAAAAGGGGCAAATGAGGAAAGAAACCACCCAGAAACCATGACAGACCTCAGAATATGTTGCAGGGCCATGAAGTCAGTGGGCACCTAATTGGCACCTCAGGTGCCCTGAATTGCATCATTAATTTCACAGAGAAAAGATTTAGGTTCAAGTAAATATTTATCAAAGGCTTAAGATGAGACCTTGCCTGATTAGTTAAAGCATACTTATGAAATAAGGAAAATAAACCGATATACATCCTTCTGTTCTGAATTTCACAGTGCATTACAATAGACATATTAAGAGTGCACCTTTGCCTCATTTCTTAGCATTCATTTCAGTATGGCAGAGTTGTAATTTACTGCTGAAATGCCCTAATTCTTTCCATAAAAGATCAATATGTGTTTACTAGCTGATCAGTGTTACACTCTAAAGGACTTACCTGGATTTAACACTTTCTGCAACACTGTTAACATATTCTGCATTCACCTAACAAAAAGAAAGGGAGTTTCAATTCAAGTCACTCATTTTTGTATTAAGCAACATTTTGTAGGTAATATTTACATGCAAACACTTAATTTTTATTCTCTAATTATTTCCATCTCAAACAAAAGCAATATGTTACAACAGCAGTTCTACTAAAGGACAGTATGGGGTTTTCAAGGCAACTGAACTTTCACTGTAATTGAAGGTAGAACTGAACAATTTCTAGCTATAGTTTCTGCATTTATGTTTTTTCTGCTTCTGCAGGAGGCCAAGCCATTTTCCACATAAAATTCTGTTCTACAGCTTTCAGTTATGCTAGAAAAGCAGAGTCACAGAACTGTCAGTAAAAAGCCATTTCAGGTTAATCCAAAAATGACAAAAGAGGACTGAGGCTGTTGAGAAAAGTCACCTAAGCAAAATTTTCTAAAGCTAGCAATACTTTTCATTTTTATTTAAAGTTTCTTCCTAATATTATATACTTCTGGCTCTTAGTCTGGAAATTTTGAGGACATACTTATTCATTGCTGCTGTTTCATAAAAATAACAGGTTTTTTTGTGGAAAACACATTTGTTAATGACATTAAACAGTGCTAAGTTGTATGGATGCGATTTCCACAGCAGTAGCTGTCTTAGCAATTCAATTTTTTCTTTTAAATACACCAGTAATTGTTACCAGCTATATATAAAATTTGTAACAAGTAAAAAAGATGTGATGTGATAAGTAAAGGACTGTGATAAGAAAAATATACCAACAACTTTGCAACTCACTTTCCGTTAATAAGTTACTGTGATTTAACCCATGATGTAAACATTTAACTTGATCTTTCGAAACTTTCTGGGGAAACGGAAGGTGTGGATTCGTGACCAGTGAGCACACTTGCCCTCCTCTCATAATTACATGTTCTTATCACCTCTCCTATCAGCACAGTCAGCCTGCTCTAATTCACTGCATGGCTGAAAAATGGGAGCTGCAAGCACGTGACTTTGGGGACACGAGAGAAAGGGGAGAGACTGACTCTTACAACAGCAGTTTAATCCTAAATTGGCTGAAAGGGACTACTACTACAACCCAAGCTACTGTTTGTTAAAAGTGCCACTTTAGGACTGCCCACAGTTGGAACAGAACCATTGAGAAGTTAACCCGTAGAGACACTCTGAAGCCCTGTGATAGAAGGTTTATCTGAGTAGCAGCCAGGCAAAGCTCATCATCGCCAGGGCTCCTCACTGGGAAATACACAACTGTAAAATAAGTTCAGCTTCTAAAAACTATGCTGAAGAGGAACTACAGTCAGTAAAATTGGGCATATCTACCTATTGTTGCAATCCAAACAGAAAAGTAGAAGTCATGACAATAACTTAACAAAGAGAACTATGTTCTGCTTGACAATATTACAGCTGCAAAAGCTGCTGTGAGGATTGAACTAAAAAAAAAGGCAAGCTTTAACTGTAAATGAATACATGCATAAAACTGAATGTTGTTTATCGAAAGACAAAGAAATATGAACAATAAATATGAAGCTTGCAGTCTTTTTACCTGCAAGTAACTATAACTAACTAATTCCCTTCTGTAGCTTTTTTCCAATGTGATAAAGACATTTCAGAATGAGAAAAAAAATTATCCCTAAGATTTTACCTTAAGCACGGTTCACTTTCCCAAACATGGAACGTTCAGGTGTCTGAACAGTTTCCTGTTTCACAAGAAATGGCAATACACATGCAGAAGGCAAGGCTCCAGCATGTCAAGGTACTTTGCAAGATATACGATGTCAAAATGGCACAGAAATAACCTGTACTTTTGTTTGAGGAAGTTTACTTTTGTCAGGTTGTATGGAGCTTTTCAGTGGAAGATTTACTTTTCATTCTTGGAGTACTTTACTTTCAGAGATAAATAATGAGTTTTTATGGTTTTGTTTGAAAATCTGACTGCAACAACTGTGTTTGTAAATTTAGTATGACTTTTCCCCCTTCAATCATGAGTTTTTCCACACATGAAGACTGAGGCACTAACTGCTCACTATCTTCTCCAGCCCTGAAGAAATTCCTCCCAAAGGCCTGGCTGGCAGTATTTTGCAGCATCTCTTATGCTATTATCCTAAGACACAAATTTCCACATAATCTTTCTAGTAGCATACTGGACCTTTCCAGGCAAACTTACCTCTGCTACAAAGACAATTATTACACAGTCATTCTTTTGTTCTTCAGAAAGTTCATACAATAGGGAATGCAGCGTATTCATCAGATAATGTTGTTTGTCCCTTTTCACAGTAGGAATACCCATCACCAGTGAGACTGCAGAGAGAAGTAGTCCAAAAGCCACATAATTTTATGTCAGGTAAAGGGAAATTGAAATTACATTTTAATTTTGATTTGATGTGATCGTAAGAACATCTGAACAGGACTATCATGTTAGAAGGTTATAACTATACCTATGAATATTTGCCAGTTGGTTTACTTGTTAACAGTTAATATTCCTACAGCACTGTGACAGCATTTGCCTTACTACCTGGAAGAGGAGATACCTCCAGCTAAGTTTAGGTTAGACACCTGTGTCTGTGTTATTAGCACCAAGTCTGCACTGTGTAAACTGTATATATTTGAGAACTTGGGAGATATTACTGCCTCTGGCAAACACGTAGGTATCTGCTACTGAGTTTCAAAAGTGGGTATTGCAAATTAAGTGCTAGCTCTTGTTATGGAGTCAGAGATCTGAGTAGTAGGAGTTAAACCTATTGCTTTAATGAGCAAGCTCTCACAAGAGGTGAGTGCTGTGTATCTCAGAAAGGAACCCAACTTAAAAATCCTCCTGAACAGTTTAACTGATAGGAATCTATGGCTCTGACATAATCAATAATAAGAAGAAATTAGATGTTCCTGTTATTAAGAAGAAAGGAACTGAAATTGTCTGTGGCAAAGACTGTGCTAGTAGCAAACCTGTGCTGTATTACATCATTAGACTGTAAGCAGGACATCTCTTTTTTTCATTGGTATTGGCATTACCTAAATCAGTGACCTAACCTAGCTCAGCAGACCTGTCAAATTCTCAGTCCTTGCAGAAGACTCTTATTCACCAAAACCTGGTGAGGCTGGTAAGGAAGCAGCAGATTTTGAAGGAAAGGAGTGGGTGCAGCTAGTGACTTGCTCCAGACTCCATTCTCTGTGCCAACATCAGCTCAAAAGTGCTGAAGTTCCAGTGCTCCTTCCCAGCACATAACCTGCTAAACCACCGGAGTTTTGTTTGGTTTTACATGCTGACGGTCAGCCTGTACTTGTTAAAGTGTGGCCTTGCTACTGTGATTTTCATGTACAAATAAATGAAAATTAAACACGTAGCATTCTTTTATTACTTACTACTTTTCCTCAAAAGTGCTGCCAATATTTCTTTATATAAAATCACCCTCGAGGAAAGTAAAAATTTTAAAAAATACAAAGCCCAGCAAAATGGTTGACTAATTCTTTGTTTGCTTACTGCTTTTGAATGGCTTTTTGTTTGTTTGTTTTTTACATGACGATTAGGAGACGATGTAACTTTATAATATGTATTATACTTCACTGGAATTCATCATGATTTGTGCAGGTATTGGCTGATTTCTCATGTGGATGAAAAAGTTACATTGAAGATATACTAACATCCTTTAAAGGATCATATCACCTTTTCATTTGCTTGTAACTTAAGCAAACTGAGTGCATTCTAAATTCTCCTTGGCTTCCACATTCATACTAATTTTGTGGGAAAAAAGTCAGCTAATGCATCTTAGCCCTATGAATATATGACTAAAACAAAAAATAATACTGTTTTTCAATTATTACTATTTTTTGTCGATATTTGAAAAAGTTTATCAGAATACTTCAGGGTAAAACTTGAAATTGAAATGGAAGTGGTAAAAGTGCTTTTGCCATCTCCATTAAACTTTATTCAGTTTGAGAACATTATATTATTTAGGGAGAAAACCCACTCTGAACCTTGAGTATGCTTCATTGCTAGAACTTAATGGAAACTATAAGTATGTAGAAAATAGAAGCCAAATTTTATTCCATACCTCCAGTTCTCTCTTGCCCAAAAAGAACATTTGGAAAAATGGCATCTTCATATTCTCGAAGGTGAGGCAGATAATAGTACATGTTTGTAAGATGCATAGCGGGTTTTCTGGGGATGTTTAACACTTTCCACTTCATACCATCTTAAAGAGACAAGAATCCCACATATACACATGAAACAAAAAGCCAGCAGTGAAGCCTATTATTTCAAATTATTTCCTCAGTTCAATACAAGCAGATTACCACACACAAAGTTATTCAATCAGAACTACTCATTGGAAGTTATTATATGTCATATATATTACCCTCCTACAGTAATAAACTGCGAATCACCCAGTATGACCCCCATCTTGCAGCTGATGGTGCAGAGCTCCATCCTAGGAAGTCTGCCTGCACCTCTGTGCCTAAATAGCTGCAGGACTGAGCCGCCTTAAAACACAATAAGCAGGAGCTCTTTTTTTTTTTCTTTTTTTTTTTTTGCACAGCTGGCAAGCAACTTTTTAAATTAAAAGAAACACAGATTCTGATTAACAACTTTCTTAGTTACTTAACACAGTTAAATACTTTTCCCAAAATGTAACACATGGTGGTTTTCAGGGCTAAAACGGAAGTTCTCAGGTTGTAAAAAGTCCTATAGCAAAAAGGATCAGATCCAGGTCTTTAGAAAATAGTTGAGAAACAAAAGACTGCAGTAGTTAAGAGAAAAGTAGGGAATATTTATGTTTTCTTTACTAGCTTAAAATAGAGATGAAAATAATTAGAATATTTATTCATGTTGAAATAACTCAAGTGTGACCTTATAAAAATAATCCTTTTTTTTAAAAAATAAACCATATAAAACCCAGATACCATTAATTTACTAATTTCTGTTCCTTCATATAAACATCCCTGAACGTTCCAGTGGTGGTAAAAATTCCTTAACATAACTTTAATACAAACCTGAACAACTTATCAGCACCAACATTTCTTTCAGATTATTAACAAACTACTTTCAAGATAAAAATTAACTCTGGAAGGAGCATTCTAAGGTTAGAACATATCCAGCCAGCAGGACCTCACTGGGCTCCTCACCTCCTGGGTTCAGGGGAGCACCCAGCTGGATGTGCTCTGCCTGCTGAGGTGAGGCTGCACACCCCCCTTGAGGTCTGGCATCCACTGGCAGGAAATCTGGCACAACAGAGGATGGCAGAGCACTTACGACCAAAAAAGACCCTCCAGCTGGACAGAGGGGGACCAGAACTGTGGAACACCTGAGGTGTACCTGCCTTCCAGGTTAGACACAGCCCTAGTAGTTAGCAGGGTGTAGTGGCATAGTAAAAGCTGGTAAAAATAGCTCACTCGGTGCTCTGCACTTGGCAGCAAGAGAGGGACACGCACTGTGAGGAACTTGATTAGCAATATGTGCAGCTTTGCCACGACGACATCACCGCAGTCTGTTGTGTCCCCTTTGACTGACCCCATTTTAACAAGGCTACAGGTTACTTCTCCATGCTTTTTTTAAGACAGAAACTTCTACCGAATGCTGATGTAATCAAATAAATTATTTTTCTCTCTACATGAGTGATAAAGAAACACAAACACACAAAACTTTGAACTGTTATCACAGTTCATTTTTATACATACAAACCTGTATGATTTGTTGTCAAGTTCATTCCTTTTGCAACTATATGTTTAATTTCATCTAGAGTGCTGCTCAGTTCGTGTAAACTTTTTTTACTTTCCTTTTCAGCATCCAGTAGTCTTTGCCGAAGTTCCAGAAACTGGCTCTGGTATGTGTCTAAGTCACTTCCTGCAATAGGAACATAATTTCTTTTCAAAGAGGTGAATTATATGATGGGATACAGGGAAAGTTTATGAACTGGAGTAAGTCCAGAAGGTATGATCAGAAGCATATAAACCATAATAAAAGAGACTGCTCCAAATTTATTCATAGAAGGAAGAAGTCTGGCAGAGTATTAAGAAGTAGAGTTGAGGAAGCACAGCTGGGTAAAGGCTTGCAACTGAAGACAAGAACACGACACCCACAATAAGGCAAAAGTCAGAGCAAGACTGTGAGTTGCATGGGAAGATGCTATCCATAAAGCCAACAACATTTTTTACTAAGTGACAAATCCTGATGACCCGTGTCACATTGAAGAGTGTAATTATGTACTGGCTTCTCTTTTGTATAAAACACTAAGATTAAAATACAGACCTAAGGTATTCAGTCTTCATCTACAAGTTTAAAAGTGTCTGGAGTATATTAAGAACTATTAATAAAATGGTTATTTGAACTCCTGTATATATTTAGTTAGATAACAACATATATAGCCCACCTTTGATTAAATACTCCACAATCGTATCAATGTTAGAAACACTTTGCTCTCAGTAATTGTTATCAGACACCTCTGCTGTTCTGCATTGCATTCTCAGATAATGTCAACTTTATCAGCCAGTTGGAGTGGGTCCAGAGGAGGGCCATGAAGATGAGCAGAGGGCTGGAGCACCACCCCTATGAGGACTGGCTGAAAGAGTTGGGGCTGTTCAGCCTGGAGAAGAGAAGGCTCTGAGGGGACCTTACTGCAGCCTTCCAGCTCCTGAAGGGGTCCTACAGGAAAGCTGTGGAGGGACTTCTTACAAGGGCAGGTAGTGACAGAACAAGGGGGAATGGTTTTAAACTGGAAGAGGGTAGATTTAGACTAGATACTAGGAGGAAATTATTTACTGTGAGGGTGGTGAGACACTGGAACAGGTTGTCCAGAGCAGTTTTGGATGCCCCCTCCCTGGCAGTGTTCAAGGCCAGGTTGGACAGGGCTTTGGGCAACCTGGTCTGGTGGGAAGTGTCTCTGCCCACAGCAGGGGGGTTGGACTTGATGATCTTTAAGGTCCCTTCCAACCCACACCATTCTGTGATTTTATAATTCTATATTTACAGAAGATCCACTTTCATACCAAGCAAGTGCTGTCAGAACTTCTCAGTGATCACAGATGATACACAAGACTCATACCTGTCAGTGCCTGCACTGCCTCATGGCCACATGAATAAAGATTGCTAGACTTGTTAAAATTGACAGAAGGTAACACTTTAATAATGTCGCTCACTTTGCAGTAGGAAGTAAAGAAACTAGAGGGCAGAAGGGCACTTCTACTTCATTTAAAAATATTTTGTAATGCTGGGAAAGGTTAAAATAGATTTCCAATACAAATCTGTCATGAGGCATCAGGCTACAAAGTTAGAACCCCAAACCAGCTAAATTATTGAAGCGCCTAAGGAAGATCGCCTTCATCAAGTACTACGTAGGAATACTTTCTTGTTTTACGCTTTTCTTTTGCAGCTGTGTTTGCAATGACGTAATCCAACCTTTAGCTTTTTGCTTTAGAATGTATACAAATAAAATGGAATCAGAAGGTTTAAGCTGATTTAGGTGACTGGCAGACATTAACCATACTGTTTTCATAGCAAAAAAAGTTATTCCAAATAGAGCACCAATACAGATAAACATGGTGGAGATTTATCCTTCAATTTCAAGGCAAATTCAGAGGTATAAATACAGTAATGGATATGCATTTTTCTCTAAATTCCAATTGCCTTTATTAGGAGTTAGATAGCATCAAGTGCCAAGTGGAGGTTTAAACCATAGTAAAGTTCCACGTTGTCTAACTTGGCAACACCTTGTCTGCCAGCAATGGGGACTGTCAGGATAAAACCAGAAAATAACGAGATAAAGACCTATGGCAAAGTCACAAGAAGTAAATGAAGGTAAAGGCTTCTTTTCCCCTTGGTGAGCTGAAGACTAATCGCTCTCCTTGGCTTAGCAAACCCTACCAGGAAATATCAATGGAGCTACACTGCCTAAAAGCCCGGGGAAAAAAAAAGAAAACAAAAAGGAAACAACCAGACTCAGTGACAGAACTCAAAACTTCAGCAATGAATTTTCAGCTCTACGACAGCATTTTCTCTGACTAGTTACTACACAGTGTCATATGTACTTACAGCTACTGTAACTCTAAGACAGCAATACCTAAAATGGTTTTAAATGCAATCTTGTGTTATCTTCTAATAGATACATATATATATATTTAACTTTCTGCAGTGGAAACTGAAACTGTTTAGAAACAATGCTAATCTGCACAGCAAATACTCATTCTGAAAGTCAACCCATTACTTCTTTTATCTCCAAGCACACACACTTCCTATTTTCATAAATGCTTACAGTTTTATTAACAATCGATTTTTGGCAATATCTAAGAGCAGTGGAACAATCCATCACTGTCTCCTCCTACCATTCAAAGAAAAAATAAAATAAAATATAAAAGAAAATTGGGAGTAGCAGAAAGGAGGGAAGAAAACACTCCATAGTCTAGCACTGCCTCTCATTCCTATTTCTTGATTACAAGCTACACTATTTACCATACCTAAAGATGCTTTCTTTCAGAAACTGAATTTTGGTTAATGACATCTTCAAAAGAAAACTATATAAGCACACTAACTGCAAAAGATCTTGTCATACTCCGCACTTGGAATCACTGCTTGCTGTTCAGGTTAATGAAGCATATTAAACCATTGAGGCATGCACTGCACTAATAACTGTGGCAGTTTATTATCTTCCCGTAACTGACCTAAAATAGTGACACCTTTGTAAATCTTGTTACACGCTTTGCAAGCTCGGGCATTGTTCTCTCAGAGTAAAGACGAAAAAAATCCCCCAAACAATGCCTCTATCTTAATTCATAACAGCCAGTCCTTACGCAAACACTTAAATTCAATGTACTTAAGTCCAAGGGCATTTAAGCAACTTTCCAGGTAAGGACACCTTCCTGAATCTGTGCACGATCTTTAAATAGTTTGGTTTTAGCATTAGAGCACAGAATTACTTGTGTCTCCCAATAGGTTAGAGTCAGACAAGAAAAACTACCAAGAAGTCAGAAGCAGCTTCACCTGCACTGAGTACATTCACTCATTGTGTTTAATCTTGGCCAGAACTGGGGTAGCTTTGACTGTTGAGCTTTAACCATAGGACACAGCATGTCTTGTGGGATAGCTTAAAACTTTGGGAGTCTCTGAAGTCAGTCAGTGCTCTGGTTGGTTTATTTTACACGGTTGAAAAGGGTGTTGAAAAAGGTTAAATGAGCGGGTTAAGAAGTTTCTAATTGTGTCCACTTGTCTGTCCTGTCCAGGCTCTGATGCTGCAGGGCCTATTGCTTTGGGCATGGTGGAGGCTACAAGTAGGAGGAGAAAGATTCATTTCAGGCAGGCACAATTCTCAGCCAGGATCAAACATGCAGGCTTGGTAAGCCCAAGCACGAGGCTCAGCATGCAGCGAGGACTCTCTCACCATGTTCTTACAGCTCTCTATGCAAGTGTCCAACCAAGCAGAGGAACCAGGCAGCAAAATGTTCTGCCAGCACCTCTGCTCATCTTGGACAACACTCTACATCAGGAGCTGCAAGACAGTGGAGGGACGCTGCGTAAACCCAGCGACGTCAAAGAAAAGCAGAGTGCCAGCAATACATGGGGAAGAAGTTAGGGTTCCTCTGCAACCATACAGAGGATATACTAGGAAGAGGATCAAAATTGCTTTCCAATACTAAAATGAACAAACAAGCACCTTAGAAAGATAAAGGCAAATGAATGTTAATAACTGAATTTTAAAAATACATTAAATTGTATAATGAACTTTGACTCACTGTTGGTTTTAACACAGGATACGTTCTACTGACCATCTACATGAAAATAGATAAGCAAATTTGTTTCAAAGAAAACACAACTTAAGCTTTAATAATATTTTCTTAAATGATGGAAAACTATCCTCATTTTAGACCTGAGCACCTGCCTATAATAGAATTTGGTGAAAAGTGATCTTAAAACATTGTCAGAACATCGCTACATAGGAAAGCAATAGTATTAAAATAAGTGGAAAAATGTATAAATTGAATAGATATTGCATGGTGTTTGCCCATAATTGGTATACTTGGTTTTAACATAGTAACATTAGTAACACAATATAGGTTCTTAATAGCAGTGGAAAATTCTGATTTGAATATGGCCTTTATCAGATAAATTAAAAGAACTCATTTACTTCATACAATTAAATGGTTATTGCTTCATTCTGGTTAGTAATTTAAATATTTTTACTGTTCTGCCTTACGCAGCAACAATCACTCATTTATACACACTTTTCATTAAATGCCTCTCCATTAACTAAATTATTTCTAGGTAAAACGGTGCTCCTCAAGACCAAGTGTCCAACATTAGGAAAGCATGAAGGTCATATGTTTACACTTGCTTAAGTACAGGTTGTGAAGAGACACTGCACAGCAAACAAACAGAGGTCTGAAATGTTCCCTATCCCTTTCTCTATGAAAACCAACTACTCTCATTTTGTACCTGAATCTTTATAGGATTTATGACTCAGTTCCTCTACTTTTGAGAACAAAGCAGCCACTATTCCACCTAAAGTAACAGCAAGAAGTGGTAGACTCTTAGTTCAGTAAATTACACATTTAGAAGCCAGTAAAACTATACAGCTTTTGTAACTCTTGGATACAAAACTTGGCACAAAATTTGGGGTTAGTAAACACTAAGTCTCAAGTGCCATTTGAGGTTGTTGGTTGCTTGTTTTTTAATACGTAAATGCAGAACTACACAAAGAAAGTAAGCAATCAGTGGAATGGAGAAACTCTTCCTCTGACACACTGTGCATTTTAGCCAGACCCTGGCCGCACGCTGGGGCAAAACCTGGATGTGCAACAACCCCTGCATGCCCTCAGTGCTACTGGAAAGAAATGAATGCTTGAAGGCAAGGAGGG